ACATAATTGTATACGCAGGTCAGTACTTATGTAATCGCGAATTCTGTATAACAATTTAAGCCGGTAAAAACAATTCCGTACTACGTCACAGATATAATGTTCAAACCTAAGCTCTTCGTCCATAACTAACCCCAAATTCCGCGCTTCTAGCACACGGTCTATACGGCACCCGTTAATTTGTATTTGAGGGTCTAAGCTACATATTTTTTTCACTTGATCCTTGGAACCCATAACCATAAATTTAGTCTTGTTCGAATTAAGTAACAGAGAATTATTCAAAGCCCAGTTATATATATTATTTAGATCTTCATTAATTCTATCCACTGCATTTAGAGTTTCGTTAGGCTTAAAAGATAAGTATATTTGAACATCGTCAGCATAAATATGAAATTTGCAAAATTTAATCACTTTCACCATGTCAGCACTAAAAATAATAAATAGAAGCGGTCCCAAGACCGAACCCTGAGGAACGCCGCGTGTTACCGATTTCACAGCAGAGCGAGATGATGATCCATCCTCACAATAAAGCTCTACGTATTGAGAGCGATTATTTAAGTACGAGTCAAACCATCGTACAGCAGAATTATCAAATCCATAATATGACAACTTGGATAACAACGGGACGGAACAATTGTACACTTTTCCTCCTCGTTTCTAATAAATCAAGCTGTAGGTTAATAAGTGTAGGTACTTACCAGATAGCAATACGTTTATGCGCCTTCGTTATGACGCGTTATCACTTTTTTAAACTACTTGCAAAAAACAGTGGAGTTATAAGTTTTGCCTGTATAATGTGTGTGTGTGTCGATCTGTGGAATCATAGTTCAAATATTTCGAATTTGTTTTACTATTTTATTTTAGCTTCAAAGGGTAATTTGATTGAGTGTTCTTTGCTACAAGAGAAAAGGAAAAAAGAGAAAAAAATGGAATTCAACAAGCTTTCGTTTAATCCTTAAAGGGACTATTGGACCCACATGGGACGACACTTTGTGTGATCCACAAATTGTTGTTCTGAGTTTGGGTATTCTTTGTGTCCGTTTCGTGTATGTTTGTAAAGTCCCCCGCTACACAGGATACATTGCTAATGCTGGAGCTGTTTTTAAAAAAAAAACTATTGAGATGCACAGATTGTTTTTATAGTATAAGGGGATAAACTAGCAGATGGGTCACCTGATGGTAAGCAACTACTGCCACCCATGGACACCTGCAACTCAATAGTCACAAGTGCGTTGCCGCCCATAAAGTCCCTCCCGCTCGCGTCAGCGGGAGGGGGTACTGGCCCCGGTAACCTCACTCACTCAGTGAAAAACAAGGAAAGAATTTCTTAACACCGGTTTTCTGTGAGGCCGTGGTATCACTCCGGTCGAGCCGGCCCATTCGTGCCGAAGCATGACTCTCCCCTCTCTCTGGTAATTGAAAGTTGGCGTCTCATGTGCATTAAATAACTCGTGACTCTATTGATTTCTGTTTAGCAGGGCATTGTCGGTGTTCGTTCGATTAATATATAAATATCCAAAAGATAAAATCTTTCGTTTGACAAAAAACAAAGACAATTCAATCGTGAGCTATTGTTAGCGTTCTTTTTAGTAACTATTAAAACTTTAAACTGCATACATGTGATTGAATTATTTTATTCGGCAAATATCAACAGAGGTAGGTATTCCTTTATACACTTTACAAATAAATAATATTGAAGTGTCTGTTTGTAATGTCAAAATTATCGTTTTTTTTTAATTCTCACGGTTATTTGCACGATACCTATGCCTAAAAACCAGTTTAATTTTTTTTGGCTATCTGTCTGTCTGTCTGTTTGTTCCGGGTGATCTTCTAAACGGCTGGACCGATTTATCGTCTTCATAAGGAAAAACTTAGGCTATTTTTCCTCTCAGAAAACCCTTTAAAATTTTGCCCGGTCCGGGCATCGAGCCCACTAAGGCAACGCTTTTCAAATTCCACGCGAACGAAGTCGCAGGTACCAGCTAGTCTTTAATAAAAAAAACATATTCTCGGATAGAACTGACAATTTACTGAAACATGTAGTGGCATTGCCGCTGCTGTTGGTCAGCGAGTCCAGCCGTGATCATGATCAGCACAATACTATCGAAACGTGGGGTCACCAAAAACTGTGTTGTACCTTATAATTATTACTGCGAGTAAGTACGGATTTAAACATCTACATAATATGTATAATCGTGAAAGTTTGGAAACAATCAGGGTGCATATTAAATAGACACATGAAACAACACAACAACAACGCACCAAACTGTCAACGCATGACAAAATCAAAGCACCTTACAACTTCACCTGTTGTAAGAAATACAAAGTATATTATTATCACAAGTACGGTCTAATGTCCGTGAAATAGGTATTAGTTCACCCTGAAATGCCATCAGTATAGTAAATAGTGCAGTTCTAGGTGACCGAACAAGTTTTTCCATTTGCCTACATAATGTAACCAAAGTTGACTAATTATATAGAAGTTGACCCTATTGTTTGATCAGTATCGTTTGTGAATGTACCTAATGCCTCCTCGGTCGGGGTTTTATCAGTTCGTGAGGTAATCTTATATCGCGCAGCTAGAACTGATGTGCATCAAAATAACAATATCACTACAATTCCATGCGACTAACTGAAACAAATCAAGAATGCTCTTGATTGCTTTTATTTTTATAACAATTTTAAATTCCTTACATAAACAACTATGCTCATTCTAAACAAATACCCACTGAAAATCATATTATACAACTAAACCGCATATTTTATACAGAACTAGCTGACCCGCGCAACTTCGTCTGCGTCTCTCAATAGTAATAAATTGTCTCCGTTTTTGAAACATTCTTCATTGGTGCTCCGCTCCTATTGGTCTTAGCGTGATGATACATAGCCTATAGCCTTCCTCGATAAATGGACTATCTAACACTGAAAGAATTTTTCAAATCGGACCCTACTGGTCCGATTTGAAAAATTCCTGAGATTAGCGCGTTTAAACAAACAAACAAACTCTTCAGCTTTATAATATTAGTATAGATTTCGTTTACAATAAAGACCAAAAAGATTCAGACGTATATACAAGAGGGTAGACCTTAGAATAATAAATTTTGGAATCGGTGCGAAACATACGGATAAAAGCAAGAATATTTTATCAAATGCTTGCTCTCGCTATTCTTTTTGCTGCCACCGTTTCTATACCATTCGTGTAAATTGTATTTCCTAGTGTATGTTACATTTCTTTGTTTAGAAATGTAAAAAATAAATAATTTTGATTGACATGAAATTATGACAAGTTATGAATTTTCATGTCAATCAAAATTGCCGTTCCATCAACATCTTTGGTATTGTTAACCGTAGCTTGATTAATGTCATCCTTTTCTCATGGTATGTTTACCTGTATGTATCAATTTTTGAGTTCGTTTTATAAGTTTTAAAATTTCAGTATTAAAAATCACGTTTGCATGATATTGTTAGCGCTTTTCGTCGCTTACAAGGATACCTACACGGCCCTATGTTATATTTTCACCTTTTATAAAACTTTGTAAAAACAATCTATGAAGTATCTTATTGCTGTACTTAAAATATCAATGAAAGGGATCTTCTAACGAGAAACGTCCTGTCAAGGATCTTATACGGTGTGCGTATCCAATTGTTCATTCAAGAGATAAATTTGTAACACAGATTAAATTAATAGAACGGATAGCTTAGTTTAAGAAGGCAAATCGTCAAGTTTATTTAAATTGAAGTTTACGTTTTGGCTTGTTCAGTCTTCATCCCAATGAATCTCATCCCATTCTTATATCATCCCAAATGCTTATTCCGTACCCATCGCAACTTTAAAATTAATATGTTAACTTAACTCAGTCCAATTTCTATTCTTAAGTCATCCCACCGCAACGAGTCCTGAGAAAGTATGGATAGCACAATCATGCAGTCAACCAAAAAAATATTTAATAAAATTACAAGGAATATAAAACTTTACTAATGCGTATTTTGGTATGTGATTTACTTTAAAACCAATATAATTTGTGTATAGGTCACACGGTCAAGTGTTCACGAATACTGATCAAGTGGAAGAAACAGAATTATCACATAGTTAGACACAGACATCGTTTAAACAATAGGTAACTTTTTTCTATCTGCACCTTGTTAAGTAAAATCTAAACCTAAAAAAATATAAGTACCTTGTTAAGTGAAATCACATGGTCCGGGACCTCCCGGATTAAGTCGCCTGAGGCCGGCCGGCTGAGTGGTTTTAATGGAATCACCAAAAACTCCTGGTTCCTGAGTCCCCAAGGCACAGGGGATCCGAAGGGATTTTAAACACCGTGAACAAAAAAAAGGAGGTAAAAATACATATAACATTATTTTAAGTCTGATTAATAACAAAGAAAAAAGTGAAGTGAAACATAAAAAGGAAAAAAAAACACACTAGCCCACACCACATTTTTACTTAAGAAATAACTTGTGCTAATTAATCCCTAACATTTTTTGTCTTCTATGTAATCTACAATTCCGTAATAGGCTTTCGACACAATTCACGTTTTATTGCGGATTTAAATTTGTTAATATTTAAGTCTTGAATATTATTAGCGATTTTATTATAAAATCTGACACATTGACCTCGAAAAGACTTGTTTATCTTTTGGAGCCTAGAGGCGGGTACTACAAGTTTATTTCTATTTCTGGTATTTATAGAATGTACATCACTTCTTTTCAAGAAGCTATCTTTGTTTTTATGAACATACATTACATTTTCATTTATAAATTGACACTTGCCACTGTCATTATGTTTATTTTTTCCTCAATGAACAACGATTACCTTAATACTTTATACTACTATACAGGTACCCAAACCGTGCAATTTTTGTCTAATTTTAACGAGATTAACTTGTTGTTCGTGTTTGCGTCCCCAGTATTCATTAATTATTTTGTAAAAATGGTTTAATGCAATACCGAGCAAACAACAGACATATCGTATTAACATAACTTTCGTCTTTTTTCCTCAGATGTCAAGTCCCGGAATGCGAAACCGTCCCTCCAGAGTTCAATGCCGGTGGTTGGGGTTCATGGGCACTGCCAGACTCTCGAGACCGATGCGAGCGGCTGGTACCCATTGGCGAGGAATGCTCTCCCGAAAACTTCTGGAAAAACCAGACTAAGCCTTGTTCCGCTTGGGTATATGAGAGCAACAATACTATCGTAGAATCGGTAAGAATTTCCATATTGCATATGAGTTTTTTAATTTGCATAAAGTAATTTATGCAGATCGTACGTGCTATCTTATTTGTTATAGTTTTACAATATGTGTTTTGGTAAACTTTGTAAAACAACTTTGTTCACAATTATATTCTGAGCCTCTATTCTTATACTGGGCATATCCTAGTTGTTGTTGTTCGATCGTTAATAAAGGTACTTTCTAAGTTGTTTTCGTATGGCGAGTGTGTGTGTGAGTATGTGTCATCACGTACGAGAACTCAGACACATAAGTTCTGAGCTCTGTTATGTGACGAACGTAAGCAAAGTATTAGCATAGTCCTGTTTTAGAAGCCACTTTGTTACTTTTTGTTTAGGAGATAGATAGTAGATAGATTTATCTGTAGTTTTTTGTTAATGTATGTACTGTATGTATGTACTGCATAGTATGTAACAAAGAATTGGTGCTTTGCAAATGATGCTTTATGTGTAATACTCACGGGTAAGTTTGAGCGGTTGTTATTTAAAACCATGTGTTAGTCTCATTATTCTATTTATAAAAGTGTGAATGTGACTGATCTTAGCTTTTCGTTAATCTGAACACCCAAATACTTTACAGTAGGTATCTAACTTTGAATCCGTGTGGTGACGGATTAATAATACAGAGTGTCACCACCTCTATTCATGCCGTGGGTGTTGTAAGAGTTGACTAAGGCGAGCAGACTATGGGCAGTGATTCCAAATGTCTCAGAAGACCCGCCAACCTGGCGTTAGGGAAAACCACAAGTTACAGTATTTTCATCACTAAAATATGAATCAATCTGTAAGACTTACTTGCGACTTTTAAGATATCTCTTTTAAAATATTAAGGTAACTACCCGCACACCCAACCGCTCCCATTTAGTTGTAGGTAAGGGAAAAGAAACCGTGTCAAATGCCTTGGAGAGATCCAGGAATATTCCCAGACATTTTATTTTTCGGTCCATTTTTTGCGCTACAAATTGTGTCAAATCCAGTACTGCAGCTTCTGGAAACGCCGGGCCTGAATCCATATTGGTTGTTAGTTATGATCTTAAAGTTGTCTAAATATGACCTAAGACGTTTTTTCAGAATGTTTTCCAGTATTTTGGAGAGACAGAGCAGGACTGATATGGGTCTGTATTTATTGACAAACAATTTTCTTTAGTTTTGTACGACGGAGCTCGATATACCAATAAAACGGTCAGGTACTTATCCACGGTTATTATCCATTTCGCATATGATACAGTTTCCGTAAAATAGATATAGTGAAACTAATTCTCTTCGAAACTGAGAACTTGCTCATTTGTGTGCTGAATTCCATAGAACGTTTGACAAACGTATTGTTCAAGATGATGCCAGTAATTTTATTTTTACATTTCAGTTCGATCTGGCATGCGAGGAGTGGAAGCGTACGTTGGTGGGCACAATCCACAGCGTCGGTACATTCATTGCACTCACCTTCGTAGGGCTGGTGTCCGACAAGTAACTATCCTCACCACTTTCTAGTCAAGCTAGTTCATTCGCATTCTAGTCATCTGCAACAATATTTTAAACTAAAATATGTGAAATACAAATCAATAAATATCTCTTAAATTCGAATACTCTCTCATAGCTTATGCATATTTTAAGCATACCTTAACTGAGATTGCTGATATATATAAAAAACCTATTGCTAATGTTTTTTAAAAACTTTATGCCAATTGCAATGTTGTAATAAAATCGAAACAAATGATAGGTGCCGTACCTATCTTTTCTCGTAAGATATTATCTGCAGTTCTCGAAAACATATACCAAAAACTGAAATGGAACGAATTTCTACTTAATTTGTATTTGATTGATGAAAGGAAGCTACATCATATTCAAATCACAGAAAACTTTTTTTGTTTCAAGAAAATCCTCATGTGCAAAGAAAATGAAAGTGAACAAAAGTATAACATTACCTTACCTAATAAAAATAAATAGAATATGTAAAAGAGTATATTTATTTGAGATAAGTAGTCTCTCAAACTGAATTATCACAGAAAATGATCAAAAGAAGAATAGCCAGTAGATGGCAAATGAGAAAACTAACACATTAAATGAGTTTTAAGATGAAAAAACTATTGAAATCGTCATAGTTTTGTTATTGATTTAAATTAAATTTAATTGTTAACCCAATTAATTTTTTTTACAATTAAATTTCACTTACGCACTCTGATTAATTTTATAGACTACCAAACGAAGATTTTGTTTTGATTACTTCTTGATCATTTCAGCTACGGCCGGCGGATAGCTCTAGTGTTGTCCTTAGTATCTCCTGCCGTTTTGGGAACTGCTCGAGCTTTCTCGCAAAATTACGCCATGTACATTCTTTTAGAACTTGGTGAGGCCATTGTAAGTGGTGGTATTTATACTACCAGTTTTGTCTTAGGTGAGTGGTCTATTTAATTATCATTTAATATCACTTAATAATTAATAATAATAATTTATCACTTATTAAATTATCTCTTTATTTTATTAAATAAACATATTATAAATTAAATTATTAAATATATTTACTAGTATATACAAAAAAAAATAGTATCTAGTACAGGGGCCAAGATGTCGGTGCTTAGGACCCCAGAGACAGAAACCTCCCCACAATACGTGTCGTATCTAGAAGAACTGCTTCCTGCATCAGGGCCCTTAATCCAACTGCCCAATGCGAGCCTCTGAAGATTCTGGTCGAGGCTCTTAACAATTAATCCATGGGCCGATATGACTATCGGTACAATGATTGCCGAATCCACATCCGACATGTCAACAATCGATGCTCGGCCCGCTAATCGGTCTGTTACCACTATATCAGGTTTATTGGCAACAATAGTTCTGTCAGTGATAATAGGGCGATCCCGGTACAACGTTGCACGACTATTTTCAAGAACTGGGTCTTGCACATATTTCTAGTACGGTAACTCCACAGTCACTCGGTATAGACAATACATACTTAAGAGCAAGTTGCTGATGGATTATTCTGGCCACTTGATTATGTCTATGCAAGTACACGCCGTTGGCAAGACAAGAAAAACCGGCAATTATATGTCTAAGGCTTTTACCGGGACAATAACATGCCCGATACATGTCTATTGTGCCATCCTTCAGGATATACTTCCGATAATTATTCGTCATAACAACTTCATCAGTAATTGCAAAGACCTTCAGTTTCTCCGAACAGGTCACTGAATCGTAGCCAGAATACAGACGCCAGTTGGTCTACCTCAGGCCTGTTCAAGGCCCGATGAAAACGTCCATGCAGCTCTTTGCCCTTCCATATCCCCTTACGATCAGTAATGTTGATTCCTAGGAGAAGGAGACCGCGGCTGCCCATCCCTTGCCACTCGCCAACATTGCCGCGATCAATGCTGGCGGTGATAGGTTTCGTCCGATCTGTCCGACCAAGATTCGACGTTCGGACTGCTACGCAGGGCAGTCCTCCTGCGTGTGCTGGGCGGAATCCCGGTCGGACCCGCAATGGTGGCATTGCTTCGTAATCTCCCGTTCAATTCGATTCAGATACTCACCGAAGCAACGTGTAAGCGTCTGAGTCAATTGGTAGATAACACAGTTGTACCTCCCTACCCACGCTTCGATGCTCGGCAGAACGGCTCTGACGGCACGTTGGCTAGCGCAGCCATGGGTTTCGAGCCGTGCCTGCCACGCCCGCAAAGCCTGCGTATGCGCGTTCCGCCCTAGCATGCCGGGCTCATGATCCGGCGCGGTCGCGTTGCCATTCCGACCGACAGGGCGAACTTGGTTACAGACCATCGCGTCCATGTCGGCCAGAACGAGGAAGGGTGGATATCGCGCCAGGAACGTCGCCGCCTCAAACAAGACCTTATTACCACCTGACAAAAGACTATTTAATACTTTTTTCAGGCGGCTAAAGTGCTTCTGTAACCATTGTTTCATAGTCAACTCATACACCTAACGCCTGTTGCATACCCAGATATTTGTAAGTTTCGTTAGCTGAGATACACCTAAAGTGCGTGAAATCTGAGAGTTCCATTCTATCAGATTCCACAACCCTGCCTTTTTTTACATGCATGATTGCATACTCATCTGCACCGAATTCCATTCTGATACATTCACTGAAGGTTTTAAAAATTAAAATTTATCAAAGGTAAATTTATCAGTATGGAATTACTGGAAGCAAATAGTTTTAAATCATCCATGTAAAGGAGGTGATATATAACCTTACTACCTCTCTTCAAACGATAGTCTAGCCCTGTATCCTCCAACATAGTGCTGAGAGGATTCAAAGCCAAGCAAAACCACAAGGGACTTAAACTGTCGCCATATATTCGCCATCGCCTTGAGATTGCCGACATCCTGGACAGAAAAGAACCGTTCTCCATAGCTAGAGTTGTATCAATCTTGTACAACTCCAACACCCTCAAGAGCCACGTATGCGGCGCAGAGTCGCCTTTTTATAATCTATCCAACATGTCGCCAGATCTTTTCGATTACGGCGAACTTGTTGGTTAATTATCATTATTATTAGTATGTAACATTAGTATAGTTGACTATCCTTTCCACAAGGGATGTCAATGAAAATCAGCGAGTGCATTTTTAATGACGTATCATACTTTTCAAGGTACATTTTGGTAAAGTATTTAAAATTTTCCATTTTACAGCTCTCGAGATGGTGGGTCCTAAGAGGCGAGTGATAGCAGGAACCATGATATCTGCTACGTTTGCTATTGGTCAGGTGTTTACCGCTCTAATTGCTTGGGCAGTCCCTTACTGGCGACACTTCACGATAGCTGTCTATGCACCTTCTGTTCTCTTCATCGCCTATTACTGGTTAATAGGAGAAAGTGTTCGTTGGCTATTAAGTAAAGATAGAAAGAAAGAGGCCGCCAGCATAATTTTCAAAGCTGCAGAAATAAATAAAAAGAAACTGTCACCAGAATCTATCAAGGCTCTGACAGAAAAACCTCAAGTCGAGCAGGAGAAACGTTTACCATCAGAAACTAAGACGGATGAAACTTCTCCGATTAAGCAAGTTCTTAGATCTAGGAAAATCATGTTCAGACTATTCATTTGTTCTTTCTGGTGGATTACTTTAACTTTCGTCTACTACGGCCTTTCTATCAACTCGGTGACTTTAGCCGGAAATAGCTACGTAAACTATATATTGACCTCCTTGGTAGAAATACCAGGCTACGTCCTCAGTTTCTTGACACTAAACCGCTTTGGGAGAAAATCATCCATCATGACAGCCTTTTTCATATGTGGCATATCTCTCGTGATACTGCCCTTTTTACCTGAATGTAAGTTTTACTCAAAATTTATAAATGCACTTTCTTTTTCTTGATCTTGAAATTACACTCACAGAAAACATTATTCTCATATATTACATAAGTATAGGAAAAATAACAAAGGAAGTTACTTAAATGAATAATCAGTTGAAAACAACAATTATTCCATTCGAATATGACATTCTAACGCTTGGTTTTTCGTTGGTATTTCGTTGTAGTCATATTTATTTCCAATTGCAAATGGATACCACTTATTCAAATACGAGTACATATCAAAATGTTTGTCTGAATTTATCTGTTTTTTCATTGCATATAGAATAATTATAAACAATAAATAATACGCTACACGGCCAATATTTATGTCAATTTGTTATAGTACGGAAAGTCAATGACAGTTCAACTTATACCAACCAATGATATGTAACCAAACATTGAAACTTAATGAATTATAATAAAAACTTGTCAACCAGATTTCTAACAAGGACAAAAGTATTAAATGACCTCTGACCTTTAAACGTCGTATGACAAAACTTAATATTAAAAAATTAAATGTAGTTTAAGAAATCCAAAAAAAAACACTTTTGCAACTAGCCGAACTAAACAGTACAAATTATTTTCTATAAGTTCAAAAAAAAAAACATTTTATCGTAGAAATGCGTGGGGTGATGCATGTCAACAGTTGTGAATATTGACAGATATTGGTAAAAGGTATTGTTATTATTTTACAAAATATGTATCTTGAAAAACACCCACCCTCTTTTACGATGGAATGATTTCATCATCATCACATCAACAGCCTATACTAGTCCACTGCTGGACATAGGCCTCTCCTTAGAAAGGAGGTTTTGGCCTACTATACCACGCTGGCCAGACGGGTTGGTATAGGGTTTGTTTCAAGTTTTCCTTCTCTTTGCAGTGCTGTTCTTCTGCTTAGTTTGCTCCCTTAGTCGGCTCTTACGACACCCACGGGATGAATTGGGGTGGTGACAATTTGTATTCTTAATCCGTCACCACACGGACAGATGGAATGATTTCGGCTAGTTACAAAAGCTGTTTTTTTTTGTTTTCACACGCTTTATATAATAGCTTCAGTTGTATGTTAGTTTGTTTGTTTGTAACCGACTCCTTTAGGCGTGATTTTGACTGACTTTAAACGGTCAGAATTCGTTCAAACTTTGAAGATATATCGAGGACCGATGACAATACACTAATTAAAAATCGGTTGTCTGTAAAGTCGGTTTACTGACGATAGTTGAACGTGACAACGTCGTAAGAAAATACTGATGGAATGGTTGCGTTTTTCAAAAATGTATTATTGTATACGAGTAGCAGCTGTCCACGCGGACGCATCGCTCACTCAAGTAGGAGAGAGACAGATGTCGAACGCTGCCGAACGCGGAGGCCGATTGTGCCTCTTTGTCGCTCGTTCCGCGCTCTCGCTTGCACTTCAAGCCTTAAATGGAACGCCTCAGAGCGAGGTAACGCCGCATGAGTCATGTTTTTTCGTGCGTGCAGCCGGCTCCATCGAATTATAAGACGTTGTCACGTCAAAAATAGAAAATAAATTTTAATAAATTTGAAAAAAAGCGTGGGGTGCTTTTTACTATTGAGAGGCACCCATAATTTATTTTTGCTTTTTTAGTCATCAATGTGATGAGTGAAATGATTATTTTCTCATTAAGACTATAAAATAACAAGCAAGTAAGTTACACATACTTCAGCACACGCCTCTTAGTACTTAGCAAAAGACACTACCGTATTTTTATGTATAGAAAAAGACGTTAATCCTGAAGACCTTGATGAGGATAATCAGCTAAATTTATCAAATCATTGTTTTGTCGTCGATCCTTGATAAGTGTGCGATGTTTCAATATAATCCAACGTTTTGAAGTCGGTCAAAATCACGTTCCAAGATTCCGTTACATACATACACACCAAGCTAATAAAAGCGTGTTAAAAAGAGCATTATATTCCACAGCGGTCAGCTGGCTCCAGACAACTTTGAATTTGGTGGCTAAGCTGTTCATAAGTTTGGCGTTCAGTAGCACCTACATATATACCGGGGAGTTGTTCCCGACGCAAGCTCGACATTCATGTCTTGGAGCTTGTTCCATGTTCGGCAGAATTGGATCTATTGTTGCGCCACAGACGCCGTTACTGGTCAGTACTGACATTTTCATGCGATTTATACACACTAGACTAGAGAAAGAACGCGAACATAGGTACCCCGGGATACTGGCTTCCCCTCATATATTTGATTTATTTTGAAATGAAAGATTGAACAATTTACATTATTCATCGTCACCACTATGAGATGAAAATAAAATCGAATCAAGGAAATTAGGATTATTATTTATTCGGGAATGTCCGCGATAATTCGGTATTATATACCTTCAAATTCTGACCCCAAATTTAATGTCTCATTTTTTTTTGCGCAGCTAACAAGTTCAGAAATTGAAATGTCTTAATGCGATTAAATGATGAATTTGTGTAAAAAAAGACTGAAGCAATAGTCAAAGGGGTTTGATACTAGCTTAAGATTATAATATATCTGTAAATATATTGACTAGGTCGCTTGATCGGCATAACTAAATAATTTAATATTATTGGATCGGGCAATATAAAATACATAAGTCCGTGTAGTGACGGATTAAGAATACGGAATGTCACTACCCCAATTCATCCCGTGGGTGTCGTAAGAGCCGACTAAGGGCGCAAAACAGCGCAGGACACCAGCACTCCAAAAAGAAGGAAAACTTGACACAAACCCTAAACCAACCCGTCTGGTCAGCGTGGTATAGTAGGCCAAAACCTCCTTTCTAAGGAGAGGCCTATGTTCAGCAATGGACTATTAATGGCTGTTGATGATGATGATGATGATGAAGTATATAGTTGATATTTATGAACGGCTATGGACTTGAACCGAAATATTAGAACGTGTCACAGTTACGTTAATGGGGTAAAGAGTAATCAAGTTAACGAGCATCCCTATTCTTTCAAGTTTTGAGAGAATTCAGTTTCCTCATTGTAATATTATAATGATGCATCCAGACTGAAAGATTTATCAATGTGTGATTACAGATGGCGTATATGGTATCTTTGCCGTACTTGATCTTTGGCGTGATGGCCGTTACGTCTGGTCTCCTGATGTGCCTCACGCCGGAGACACTCGGCATCAAGTTACCCGATACCATCGAAGAGGCCGAGAACATAATAGCAGTGAAGAAGAACAATGTTGCATGACAGTACTAGAATTAATTACTCTTTAATTTATTTTACTTTGGTAAGAATGTGTGGAATCACAGAAAGGAACTAAACTAAAACTGTTTGATATACGACTTACGAGAGTGACTTCTTCTATGCTTTATGTTTGAAACTTACATTTAGATAATGTGATGACTCGTAAAAGAGTTGGCACCCTTATGGGGAGCACTCGTGCGAGTGTCTGTCCGTGGGACGCAGCAAATGTGCTCTGCTCACTCGCGGTGTGCAACGTGTCTAGGTAGTTATTGTTATTATTGTTTTTTTATTTAAATAAATAAGTTTAAATGTTGTACATGCCTATTTGAATACTTTGAATTTTCATTCATCATTCATTTTTATAATCTTCAGACGGCCGAACAAGGTGACCTCGTAACGGCAAAGGCGTTGCAGAGAAACTTTGTTAAAGTTTTTATAAAACAGTTCATTTTGTGATGATTGAATTTAAATTTACACTAACAACACTTGTATAATACCGTATAAAACCCGGGTGGTACCGAGTGGTTTTCGTTTACAGGTTTTGAATCACATGGTATTTCGATACAAGGGCGCACCTAAATAAAAATTACAGATAATATAGAATTTACTTAGAACTACTTAGAAGAATTTGAATTACTTATCGTGAGGTTTCCAAATAAGAATATATATTTTGGGTGAGGTGAATAATTTTCAAGTTACTCAAGGAGTCCTCCACACAAGTTAGACCCGTGCTTGGCCGACCTGAAGATGTAGACAGTATAGACGCGCCGTATATTTTCTTCTCCTTTTCTATTGTATCTTCTTTCACTCAGTCCATGTACGTTCTTTGGTCATTCCCTCTTCTTGTATCCTACAATTTACATAAAACTGTCTTTAACACATTTCCTTACTACGATAACCTGCTGCTGCTCAAATTTTGATCCACTTTCCGTACTTTCAGGCAACCAATCGGCGTATTTATTTCCTTGTCTGATCACAATCCAGCTCAATAATTGCATTTCTAGCGTGAAGGCGTTTTTTATTTCGTGGCAGCAGGACGGCAGCTCTGATCATCGTCTTAAATATATCCTTTCAGATTAACAGATATAAATACGTACATTACACTATACCTTTTTTAAAATCACAAACGTGTGGTTAGTACTTTATTTTTATAGGAAATAGGAACATTTTTTTTAATTTGCCCTTTTGCTTGAATTTATTTAAACATGTCATGCACATTAGGTGCCTTGGCGGACTTAACGCCTAAGGCATTCTCTAACAGTCAACCATTGGGGGATGCAGAGAAAACAGGAAGTTTAGTTTCATTTAATTTTATGCAAACTAAATTTAGCAATGCAAACTGAATAGAAAATCACATATTTACACATACACATACATACAAACCTATCATTTGCTACACCAATTTTTCCTTTTTTTTTTTTTTTTCCGTGCGGAAATACCCTCGGATACCACCTGTCGGTGGCATGTCGGACTCGAACCGACTAAAACCGCACGCCGTCTCGGGTACTAATAGCCGGGGAACCAGATCATTTGCTACACCTATACATATAACACATAGGAACAAACATTACAATACAAAAATGCAGTACAAAAGAATATAAATACATACATACACAGAGACGCACATAGATACAAATAACAGTCGTCTTGACAGCTGTAATGCAGACAATAATATACACATTTTGTAGTTAAGTTCAAAGAGTATAATGTGATGAGATCGCTCATCTGTTGAAGCTGGACAGAAGTGGTATTAAAGAGTTGAAATCACTGTTACGTTGTGATTTGCTCAGTGATTTACATGTAATTTTTTTTTCTTTTGTTATGTTTGTGATTTTTCAGTGATTTTTTTACATGTGATCATAAATTGATCATAAATTATCATTAGATAAATTATGATCACTTGTAAACACCATTAAGTAAGCTTTAAAATTTATTAAGTGTTATTTACGTTAATTATTTATATAAATTTAATTATTTTTATTAAAAATTAAATTTTACATCGTATTACGCGTTTCATTTTGCGATAAAATTATGTACAAGATACATTTTTTAATATTGGGTAAATCTATCAATAGGTAGTTGTTGTAATTTGTTAAGAAAAAACACCCAAACTATGTAATTTATAACTTAGCGATAGCCATAGCTCGTTTTCATTTATTTTTCAAAGTTTAGCTTATAAGCTGTGTAATTTTATTTGGTGGCTTTGTTGCGATATTTTTCCCTGCTGAAGTAAAAATTTAATGGGTGTTTTAAATATATAAACCTTTTTTGAATAAATATTTAAGTAATAGAGAAAACCGTTCAGGAGTAGTTGTAGATGGTCCATACACCACAATATTAAGTTATGTTTTAATGGATTTTGAGGGCACGATAGGCACCAAATCGAAGAAAAAACTAAGCTAAAAAAACGCCTTCACAACCTTTTCTTATTCAGGATATTAGGCATTCTTCAGCATTCAGGATATTCTTGACCCTCTTAACTACGTTTTAGATCAAGCTTAATACCTGGATTTTCATTTATAACAGATCATTATATAAAAATGTAGGCAATAACATTGAATTTTAACCTGTGTTACACTACGTAACAACTATTGGCAGTTATAGTGCCTAGCTGTACTCACTCTAGGATTATGTTTATTCTAAGTTACTTCTAGAAGATTCTCAAGCGTAGAAGTTTAACCAGAGTTAGTGTTTAATAGTTAAAATCAAGGAAACACTAAAAATACAGTAATTTCAGTAACTTTTTTCGAGGTATACCAACGAACAGCATAAACAACTTTGTAATTCTACTATATAAGTAGACTGGCTTTTGTCCGCGGCTCCGCCCACGTGTATGTCGGTTATCGCGGTCAAATCTTTCCTCAAGAATCAAAGTATCTACATGCCGAATTTTATTTCTATCGGTTCAGCGGTTATTGATATCCCATACAAACTTCCAACCCTATTCACCCCTTCAAAGGGTGATTTCTGGGATATAAACTATCCTATGTCCTTTCGTGGCACTCAAACTATCGCTACACCAAATTTCGTCTAAACCGTTTCATCGATTTAAGGGTGAAAAGGTAACAGACAGAAAGACACACATTTTCGCATTTATAATGTGAACTTCATAATGAAATGAAATGATATTTATTTCTGCAAAGAAATCTTTTTCAGATATTTTACAAGTCAGATTTTACAGCTAGAAGGCGCCGGCATTTCCTAAGATTCACCTCTCGGAAGAAACGCCGATACAAACCACAGAGGTGTCTTTTATATTGAGGCCGTGTACAATGTTAAAGAAAACTATGTGAGTACAGTACAAGGGTCAGAATATAGTCAGGATCATCCACCCGGAACACGACACTACCGCCAGCAGGACACTTGAGTGGGCCGTGCAAACACTCCAAACCACCAGAAAGTCACTAAAATATGAACTAACATTACAAGCCTACAGAATACTCTCATTTACATACTTACACAAAAAAAAACAATTTAATTTCAAATAAAGAAATTGAAAGCAAACAAAATACGAATTAAATGTTCATCACTTTTAAATGTGGGAGTGAGCAGCATTCATCCCAAGCAAATATGTCAGCTTAATAATCTTTTTTACTTACTTATGTTTCACTAAGGACTTTATTTACTCTTTCTGATGTGCCCATGTTTCGCCATAAACCAATAGCGCCGTATCATTTGCGTAGGAGTAAATTTCACATCACGAAAGTGCTAAATATTGCTAATTTGTATACATCATTAATATATATTTAAGGAGGCCAGGTGGAGTGACAATTTGCATAAGATGGCTGGCAGGAGCTGGATGCGAGAAGCCCAAAATCGATCTAAGTGGCATGTAATGGGAGAGGCCTATGTCCAGCAGTGGACTGCGATAGGCTGATGATGATGATGACGATGATATATTTAAAATACCGTAGGGCCATACATTTCAAATGTCAATTCCTAAATGAAGGTGAGTAAGTTTATACCCATAATGTTTAAATACTTACTAATTTCATAACTTGATATTTTAGGCCCGCACTCACTAGTTACACTAGGAACAACGAAGTTTAACTTGTGACAAAAGAAATTGTATTAATCCATGTTAAAATACAGTAATTTTACAAAACGATATATCATTAAGGTACGACCATTGACGTCCGTCGAGTTGCGGGTTGACATTTTTTTACAGAAAGGTTACATTATTATAAGCACACACGCAAACTTTAAACATGCGGAGACGCATAGTTTTGGAGAAAATAAATATTGAAATCAATTATTTTTGCAATATTTATGTCAGAGGCCGCTCGCCGAGCCACGAAGGCTCGTTGGACGTCTCGGCTGGAGCTGGCTTTGCCACCGTGGAGGCACTCCAGCCGGTCATCGTTGAGTGGGCAGGGCGGCGGCACGGGACCCTTTCCTTCCGGCTGACGCAGGTCCTTCAGGGCACGGCTGTTTTGGCAAAGACCTGCACTCGGTCGCTTGGAGGGAACTGAGTCACCTGTCACCACTGCAGTGAGGACTCGGCTCAGCACACGCTGGCAATATGCCCGGCTCGGGCGCCGCAACGCCGGGCCCTCATTGCAGTCATCGGAGGGGATCTCTCGCTACCGGCCGCAATATGCTCCATGGCCGGTAGTGACAGATGTTTCACCGCGGTCGCATCCTTCTGCGAAGACGTCATCTGGCAGAAGGAGGCAGTGGAGAGGGCCCGGGAAGATGACCTCCACTTGGACCCGTTTCGTCGCCGGCGAACCGGGTGGCGGAGGCGCTATTCCCACCGTCTCATGCCGCCCTGAGTGTGGCCACGGGTGATTAATAGAAAAGATAAAAAATCTACAAAGTGTATACTAACGAAAGCAAATAATTAAAAATCATATTAAACAAAAACTCATTTAATAATTTCCAATACATTTTCTGTGTCTGCAGTTAAGTTTATCAGATGAGGAAAGCGCCGAAATACTATCAGAAACTTTCACATACTGCGCAGATGTGTCTTTTGGTCGTGGATCTATCTCTAACACTCG